GGGGGTGTCAGACCTGCTCCTCCAAATTCTGCTAGCACAGCCCCAAATGGCATCTTGCTGCCCCAGGGTGTGGGGCCTGGTTTCTCCTCCACCTCTTTAATGTAGGCTGAGAACACCCTAGAGACCAGAGAGGGAGAGATGAGCAAGGAAGCGGGCTGGAAGACAGCATGAAAAACAGAAATTGAAACCGGACAAAGCCGCCTAGCTAGTTTTCAATACTCTAATCTTCATCTCCTGAACCATCTTTTACCTGCACTTGAAGTCACATGAGCCAGCAGCCAGCAGGACATTGTTTGGATGCCAGTCCAGACTGAGGATGGTGGAGCGAACTGGCTTTTTGATGTGCTTGCTAACCCACCTAAAACCACACGAAGAAGCAAAGTTTTTATAGCAGGACATGTAAATATTTAAACCCCACAAAAACAAAAAAACGACTCATCAATTATGAGGCACAGCAAAAATAAAAGGGAAGTAATAAGTACAGGGTGGAGGAAAAAAAACAAGTCCTTTAATCCTGGGAGTGTATCTTCATCAGCTGGTTGGAATGCAACGCTTTGCTCTTACACTAGGTGAAGACATTCAATTCCCAGTTTGTTTTAAACTGGACCACACCCCCTACCTCTACATTTGCATGACGACTTCCTTGCAGCACTGCACTCTCTCTGCACCAGAGATAAGTAGAGAGCACCAGAGAAAGGCTGCCCTTCACCTAATGCTCTGTTAACATCCTCACATAATTATAGCCTTCACTGGGTTTGTGCTGTGATTGCTTAGCACACATGTATCACCCTCATTCTTCTTTAAATGCTATCAGAACATGCCAACGAAAGAAAATCAACTCTACTTTTGTATTCATGACATTTACAGGTGTAGCGTTATTATAACTATAATGATAAGTATCATTTCTGTAATGATATTGGTAGCAATTCAATGTTGCTACCAACAGAATTTTTCACAGTCTATAACTACTGAGAGAGACATGCCTCCCAACTCTTGATGACGCACTTCTGTATGAAAGTTCAAGCCACACCTCAGATAAGCGTTTCACACAGGCTGTGTGGCTGCTCTGACCTGTTAAAGCAGGTGTGAAAATTGAGGTAAAGCAGTTTGGTCTGGATGTATAGGTTCAAAATAATGCACTAATAATTCAAATAAATGGCAAGACTGAACTTAAATGCTGCACTTTCAAAGAAAGACATTATTCACAACATTCACCAGAACATCAATGCATTTAAATCATGCCACTGCTGGATTAATAGTCTCACCAATCGTTCTCGGACTCAAAGTAGCAGACAGAGATGAGTCGAGCACCGCTGCCCACTGCAAACTTGTTCTCCAATGGAGACCACTTGACGAAGGTGGCCGCTCTGTTGATCCTGAGAATGACCAGTGTGGGCTTCCATACCCCCTCCTTCTGGGACCACACATAGGCATTACGGTCTGCTCCACATGTCACTATGCGGTCACTTTTGGGAGCCCAGTCAATGCCTATAACACAGCCAATAAGCAGTCACTAACAACTCTACTAATAGCTTAGACAAAAAGAAACCCCTTTAGGATCACACAATCCCACCTTAGCTGTGGTTTTACTTATTAAAGAATTCTTCAGAAACATTAATTTTACTGACATGTTGGGTGAGACGTGGACTGAAACGTCACGTTAAATAAGTAAAACAAACGATTAGTCTTAAAAACATCTGATTAACCACCTGTTATATGGCCATTGTGTTCCTTCAGTTCATGGGTCTTAACCCACTGGTTGCCACTCTTCTTGTAGATATGAACTTCATGGTTATTGGGACTAATGGCAATTTCTGAAGGAAAACAAAACAGAAGAAACCAGCTGGTTAACAGGATGAGCACACAGATAACAAACAAGTTAGACCAGTTTTCTGATACATGCCAAATTCCAACCTGTGTTACCCAAAATAAACTGAGTCAATCTTATCTCTGTTCAGATGAAATTGCTCTAACAGCATTCTTTGTAGTTGTGATCTGACCACCCAATGAAGACAAAGACTTTAAGACCTTAACCTTGAAATGTGTTGTGTTAAAGTGAGCATTTCTCATAGCTACAGTCTCAGAGCCTTACGTGTCCTGTCGCGGTTCCATGCGTGGCAGGTGATGGGTTCCAACAGAAACTGATGAAGGGACATGTTTGGGTGTGGTCCTTAAGTTGAACTCTGCGAAGCAAAAACACACAGCAAAAACTCACAAAGCAAAGCAAAACACGGCAAACACACTCCCAGCCAGCAGGAGACCAGAACGATGTCTCGGTAGACTTAAAAACTAAACAAATTACAGCATACATAATGGAAGCTGCTGGTTCACTGCTCACATAGGACAGCTAGTTAACTGTTAACTTTTAAAGCACCCTAGCTCGTAATGTACGTGTTAGCCGCTAGCTTGGATTCTTTAGATAAACCCTGTCACCGAGAAGCTTTCTTTACTAGTTTCTCTTAAATAATAATGGCAAATTAACGTTAGCAAGCTGACTTTCACTTAAGTCCTTTTTCGCCCCAAACAGACGTACAACATTCTTCTAAACCAGTACGGACTTGCTAAGCTAGCTCCGGTAATATTACCATTACTAGGTCAGCTGCTTCCCTCGGTAAATTAACATTAGCAAAACGTTTCTAGCAAGTCAATCAAATTGCTAGCTCACATTTCGCCGGTGTTACACAGACCTAATAGCAAGATGGGGAATTTTGAGGGATATAATGACAACGACTGTGTCCACACGCTTACCAGAAGGCCTCCTTTCTAAGATTATTTTTTCCTCGTACAAGAAGCCTTTACTCCCGGTGACAGCTAGACCATTAGCCTGTCCATCCCACTAGCCTCCATGCTAACTTACCTCGTCAGTCCGGTTCTCCCGAGTGTTGAACTCTTGTTAGCCGGTGAGCTAAATCACGCTAGCGGGGGGAAAGGTTAGATTAGGAGTGGACCTGAATTCGCGGACTCTGGTCAGTCGACACGAATTCGTCCAGGAATGTTGAGGGGAATGTCAAGACGGCCAGCAGGATACGACCGGGAGCATCCGGTAGCTAAAACTCTGCAGCAAAACCCGAGGATGCCAGGCTGACAGCTAGCTTAGCATCATTACGCTAGCTGTTACATTCAAGTGAATAACCTCGTTCACGTCGCTAGATCTCACGTTACTCCTAGCCCGAGAAGAGCTCCACTAGTGCTTTACCCAGAGTGCTATAAACGGTTACAAAACAGCACAGACTTGTGGCCGTTCTATCAGTGTTGTATTAAACACGATTAGAGGACTTCATCAGGCTTAGATGGTGTGTTTTGTCTGATAATGTGTGAATGTGCCAAAACACAGAATCACCGACTCGGAATTTTAAAACCAGGTTTTAAATATTTATGGTACTGTAAAATTCTTGACCCACCCCTAGTTTCTCTGTATTTAGCTTTTCATGTCATCTTTTTAAAGTGGTCTTGAGCAATAGTGCTCCAGGCTTTTTTCAGTATTTTTCCACCAAAGAAAGGATTAACAAAGAGCTCTTGGCTGAAAATTTGGCATATCTTTGCATGATAGGCAGTGTGTTCTTAAAATGTTTGAGGAAACTGGACAAGTGAAGGACAAAAGAAGAAGTAGGCCTAAAAAACATCTATAACAGATAAACAGTATCTGATCAAGATGTCATTCTTAAGGAAGAGAAAAGGTTGAAGTATGCCAAATTATACAAGAACTGGACAGAAAATCAGTGGCACCAGGTCTTATTGGAGTGATGAGTCCAAATGTGAAGCTTTTGGCCAAGTCCTCATTAATATGTTGGAAGTCAGTAGAGTCTGTTAAGTATCTGATTGGCATTTTTCAGGCTTCATTTTTCAGCATGACAATGATCACAAATACACTGTTAATGCAGTAAAAGCATAGATTGGCTCCTCCCTGCAACCCTGATAAGGATAAGCATCCAAAGAAATGAGGAGCTCTATTTTGCATAATAGAGCACATCTGGTCTTACTCATAAAGAACAGATTATCTTTGGTGTTAAACAAACAAAATTTGATTTTTTACCAATTTCCAGTGGAATAAAACTAAGCAAGATGGCTGTTTGGGGGGAAGGTTTGCCCCAGCGCTGAAAGACCTTTCTACCTGTTTAACATGCTCATGGCGCTATTGAACAATGGGTAATACCTTCTTGAACCAATCAGAGGCAAATTCAATTAACAGCACCTGGTACATCTGCTGATGAATCCCTGCTGGACGCAAACACAGGAGGCACATTTTAGGAGTTTTCCCTTGTTTTTCCTCTCACGCTCCCTCAGGCCTTTTAAATGGAATCAAATGTGGATAAGCTGTTTCCTGCACCTACGCCATACTTCTTACCAGGTAAAAATAACCTCTCATCTCAAGCATTGCTTAGTCTGTTTTCCTGTGGTTGAAAAAACAAAAACCTCACTGTGTATCCATTTTTTCCAGAAGACTGTAAATCGGATCAAGATGTCAAAGTCTACAAAGTCCACTCACCTTTCACCCGTCCACCACCACCACCAGCACAGCCACCACAACCGCCTTCCTCGTCTTCAGGAGTTTGCTTGCCCAACAATATTCTCTCAGCTGTACCAGGTACAGGCTCTTCTACCTCCATTTTGAATATGTAATGTCACATTTTCTTTGCTCACCGCTAAGTTTAAACATAGCTTAATAATTTATTACTTTAGTTTACTTACTTTAGTTTTACATAAAAAAAAAAAAAATAGCAGCAATCCCCTTCAGGTTGCATGTCAGCATTCATTTTTAACCTCTTCTCAACAGTGTATGATGCTCCTTTACGTACACCCAGAGCAAAGTTTGTGAGCTATGAAGCTGAGCTGCGATGCTCTCCAGGTCTGGCAACCTGCCCCTCCTGCAGGACTCGGGTCACTACAGAGGTCACCTTTAAAGCCGGGACTTTTGCGTGGCTCATGTGTCTTGTGTTTGTGTTATGCGGGTGAGAGGCATTTAAACACGTCAGTCTGGTTGGGTTTTTTTTGTACCCCAGCATCGATCACACATTCGATTTCTAAAAAGTCAGAGATCAGCGTGTGGTTCTTTCCACCTCACAGGTTGGTGCTCGGCTGCTGCCTGATTCCATTTTTTGTAAACCACTTCAAGGACGCCTACCACAGTTGTCCACGTTGTCGACGGGTTCTTCACGTGCACAAGAAGCGGTGCTGCGAGTGAACACACAATTGCTGAAGTCAAATGCACGTTTAGAGATAAGAGCACACGAGTTCCTGTTGTGTAAAATTTGATATTTTAAACGTTTTAATCAAATTGTAAAAGAATCCTATTAAATAAATGTGTTCTGTGCCAATCCTTCAAGCTTTATTTCTTTGTTTTATTTAAAATGCAGAGCAGGGAGAAAAGCTTAATGTTTCAAGTGACCTTTGTTTGCATAGTTTGTTCACTGCACATCTACGGACATCCAAACATCCAGCAAGGATTAGGCCTGCATGTGCACCTGTACTGTGCATAGTAAACGTGCCCTCACTAATCACTCTGGAGGATTAGAGGTGTAGGTTTATTTTAGATGTTTGAGCCTCAGGGTAATGAGCATCATACAAGCCCCTTCCTTTTCTTTTTTTTTTAAAAGCATGCCAACAACCTCCCACTCACAGCTCAGGTATAAGGCATCAGGAAATGTTATTCCTGTGTAGAGGAGCACTGGTGGATCCGCGAGGCAGTGACGCACTTGCAGCCAGCTGACCCTTGCATGGCTGAAGATGCATCAGAGTATCTCAACTCTGTCTGGAAATCACTTTCCTCCCTAGTCCACTCTTCTTTTTTCTTTCAACACTTCACAAGCAAACGTGAACTCCTCTCCTACTTGATGCTGTGTGCTGCCAAAATGCCCTTCATACCGCCAGTGTCCATCGCACGCTCCGTGTCAGGACTCGCTGGGAAGGAGAGACCCACCAACAACACTTCATCTGTATCTGCTGTGACCAAAGCTTTGAAAGAAGACAAAGGTGGCTCAGTGAAGGAGAGGCTGGCTTTGAACTTGAAACAGCTGGGGAAGAAGAGTCAGCCCAGGAGTAATCTGCCAACAATTAAAGGAGTGTCAGGGGCAAACAGAAGGGAAGGCTCGCTCCCTTCATCCCAGACAGGCAGCTCTCCTGTCACCAGCTCAGAGAGTCTGTCTAAAAGACAGCAGCACAAACACTCCGGTCAGACTTCTGTAAAGAGTGACTCACAGGTGAAGCCTGTGAGAACCAAGGATCAGCAGGAGGTCCGTTTCACTCTGACTCTCACACCCGAGGCTGTCCTCCTGCTGCAGCGGAGAAACAGCGAGAGACACCGGCAACGTTCAGTCGCCAGAAATCCCGCGAGTGGATCCACCTTGGCTCCCGGAGGAGCCACGGAGTCCCGACACAGGAGGGAAAACGTGCCCAAAAGGCAGAGAAACGGCTCTCACAGCGGCAGAGTCCTCGCTAAAAACAGCACTGACGCTGAGCTCCGAGACATAAACTCAATTCTGAAAATCTCCCTTTTGAATGAGCGGCACAAGTACGACGACGTGGAGTACGAGGAAGAGGAGAACTACGGCGTGGATGAGCGCGTGATGCTCAAATGTACAGAGTGGCTACGTGGGCTGGAAAACGCACCAATGACGGCGGGGAACAGGCTGAGTCGGAGCGCGAGCAGCGTGAAAAGTTTCTGAAGGTGACTGGAAATGAGCGAGCGCCCGGGATTAAATGCGCGTTGTCATGGTAACTGTCAAGTTTCCCTCATACATATTTCTAGGATAAAAACTGTGATGTCATTCAGCATGATGGTGTCGTGGCTATCCCTTTATACTATTGGATTACAACTACAAGGGCTGTATGCAGAAGAAAAAAATATTTATTTTTATTTTGTGTTTTTGAGCCTTGGGTGTTAAGATCCACTGAAATATTTTGTGGAATATATATTTTCATTGACACATGGCTTTCTAACAAGGTGCAAATGTGCAAGGACGAGAAGACACTGTTCACTGACTGCCCGAGCATGCGCTGTGAGGTGCAGTGCACAGAGCAACACAGCTGCTGCAATGTGTAATCTATAGTGATGCACGAGCCTCAGGAGGATTTGCACGTCACAGGATCGTCTCTAATGGCTTTGATAAAGATCTCGCACAAGATGACACTTTATCCGCAGTTATGCAATGTCAGAAGAGTAACCGATGAAGTGAAATTAAAGGGAAAGTCAGCGTTTACTTTGATTTTTAATGCTTTTCCTTCGTCTTCTGTGCCCTCACTTTAAATTTCACAGCTAAGCAGTTTGCACCTTTACCGTCATTTGATCAGTATCACGTTTTGTAAGACTTGCAGTCAATTAAAAAAAAAGAAAAGAAAAGAAATTAATAAGTTAAAAACAGGGAAACTTTTACAACTTTTTAAAGATAAATCATTTGTACTTTTGTTTTTGTAACCAACACTGTCTAAGAAAGCGCTAAGTAGCTTTCTATGGATTTAAGGTCTTGGCTTGGCAGTTGTCAGACATTTCCTCGTGCACACACCAAGCGCGCACAGTATATCAGCTTATCCACCTGGGAGTCAAATGTTACAACACGTGTGATGGTTAATGCTATAGAGCAGGGCCCTTAATCATAAGGCCAAGGGCCAGCATTGGCTGGGCAAAGACTCGACTCCAGTCCACAGAACGGTTGAGGAAGATGTGAAGGAGTATGGGCTCAAATTGAGGTCATAAATATTTTGTACTTGTAAATCAGGATTTATGTGTAAAAAGAATTTGGGTGTCTGTAAAAAAAGATTTGTTTGCAGTGTTTTGGAAATTACAGTCTTCACTGAGATAGTTACAAAGCTTTCTTCGTTATGAATTAGCATACATGTGGCATAGCATACCTACAGAGCTCAGCAGCCAGTGCAACAAATTCTGGATCCTTTGCTTTTAGTTAGCATTAGCAGCACATCCTGCGTCTGATGTGAAAGTACCTTTATGCTGAGCACTGTGACTCACAGCAATGTTCCCGGGTCAGCCCAGACTTTGTGTTAAACTAATCCTAAAGTAATAATGGTATTTCTAACCACTGATATACCACAACTTTATCCTTTCAACAGCTACTGAAAGTTAGGGGACCTAGCTGCTATCAGAAATTTTTATAGAGATCCTCCAGCTTCAAACTGTATTACCCTTCAAGGACCTGCAGTTCAAAAAAAGCACCCCTCCGACAGCCAAACCCATCTGTTCTCTGATTGGATTGTTACATTTGTGATTGACATGACATTGACCAATCAGATGAAAGGAAGAAAAATAGGGTCAAAATTCGTACTTGTAACTTGCAGGTTTTTTTTGGCTAAGTCCACACACAAATCTTTTTTACACACACACACACACACACACACACACACACATCTCTTTTTACACATACAAATCCTGATTTACAAGTACACACACACACACACTCTCATTCTTTTTACACATACAAATCCTGATTTACAAGTACAAAATATTTATGACCACAATTTGAGCCCATAAAGGAGGGCGTAATTTTGGACTTTTACACTGAAGTCATTACATAAGATATAACAATTAAATGAAAGTCTTGATGCAAGCTCAATCATCAAGGTAAGCAAATCCCAGAAAGTTGTTTATCTGGAGGTTATGTTTCCAGTGGGAGAAATATTTCCTCACTCATCCAAGTGACTTCTTAAGAAATGACAAAATGTTTCTCCCACTGAAAACTCAAAGTCCAGATGAACAGAACATCCTGGAATTAAATGACAGAAAAAAATGAATGTTTTTCATTGTCTCTTTAGAAATATCATTTTTTTATAATGTAAAAAAATAAACAAATAGGATATTTTCTGAGAATTAACAAAAACTTTAAGTTTTGTAATTACAGGAGAGTCTGAGCAATGAGCTAAACCAAATTTTTCTTTAATTTAACACTTTTTTTTTTTATTTGTGCTGACAGGTTTCTTCCATCTACTCTGACAACATTTCTTTATCATGCAAAAAACTTTGAGATACTATTGAAATTTCACTTGTTTTTCTTCTATGATATTCCAAGGGACTTTAAATGGACAGTTAGACGTCTTTACAATGACAGAAAGAGGAATTTCACTAGTGTGGTCCACTTAACATCAATGTGGGCAGCATGTGACCCGGGATGTAAAATGAGTCTGACATCCCTACTTTAGAGCTTAAGTGAGTAAAAGATTTTAAATGTAATGTTTTACAGTATAAATTGATCTGAAATAATAAATAATAGTAAAAGAAAGCTCAGTCTGGTGGAACTATACAAAACAACTCTCCAGTGTTGCTTTTTTTTGTTGTTGTTAAATTACTATGAAATATACTTTGCTGCTTATGGACACATGAATGGGCATCATTTCCAGCAATTGATTCGTCGCAACTGGACGTAGGCCAGGCACATGCAGACAAATATGATTCCCAGCAAGGCCACCACGTTCCTCCAGAAGCCCCACACGGAGTAGTCGATACCTTGCTGTTCCAGGAAATTTTCCCCTGAGATGCTGAAGCACAAGACACAAAGACACATTTAATCTGTGTGTGCATGTGTGTGCATAAGTTTTAAACAGTAGCTACGTTATTTCACTCACGCTGTGTTGTTGCTGTACAAAAACAGTCCTTTCAGCTCGTTAATGTATAGAGCCTAAGAAAGAGAGACAAAGAGATCAGGCTGAACAACCTCCTCACTTCACATAAAGGCACATTCAGCCCCAGTGGTCTCATTCTCACACACAAATCCTCCTCCCTTGCTTTCTGTGTCTTACATCCAATCCATATTTGAAGATACTGATCCATTTCACCCAAGAGAGCCAGCTCAGCATGGCGTTGAGATTGACGAGAAAACCACCAAAGACCTGAAACAAAGAGGGAATGAAACTCTTAAGTGCCCATTCCTCTCTTGTACATGTCATATATGAGTCTTAGCATCTCACCATCATGAAGACGAAGGGCAAAGCAATGAGGATGTTTGCCATCGCAAATGTAGAAACACTCGCTGAGACGAGGAAGGCCAGACCAACTCCTGCCAGACTGACCAGAGACATGGTCAGAGCGAAACAGAGGAACGTCTCAAAGGCAGGCTTCAACCCTGAAGGAATGGTGGACACGTGCACACAGGAAGACAGGAAATTATTGAGCGGGCTGCTCCTGGCACAGTGGCAGTGAGATCAAATGGAAGCTTCCAAATGAAAAGTAATCAACAGCAGCTCAATTAATTAGGAAGTATATTATGGGGAATCCAGATTTTATTCATCAAAACTGGAACACCCTTGAGATGAGGCTCAGCCTGTGCAGAAGGAACTGGGCTGTTTCCTTATTCACTAATTTAAAACTCTCACTCATACTGCAAAACCACTCTGTGGATTTGGAGTTAGCCCCAAATAAGAAATTTCATGGATGTGAATGAAACAGCAGCAGCTCCTCTCTGTACTTGGTAACTGAGTGTATCAGAACGTCTTTCAAGATACGACGCAATGTGTGTTTTGTATGTGTATGTCTGCTTGCATGCAAGGATGATGTTACCCATCATGTAGTAGGCAATTGCTGAAAACACAATGATGGGAATCATGCGATTGGGGATGAGATCAGCAAAGATCTTGGACAGGAAGTAGACGGAAGTACGGTAATAGCCGCTAGAGTTCTCATGACTGCAACAAACATTAACAGGGAAAAAAAAACATAAACTCAAAAACAATGTGAGAGGGTGAAAAGGGTTAGATTCACTGACAATTTGAAAAACAGACTTTTTTTTAAGCTATATTTTATATCAACGTGTGATGCAACTCATAAACATGCACCTCTTCTAAAATTAAGCTCACGCTAATTCATTGATGATTGCATTTAAAAAAAAATGCTTTAAAAGGCAGCAACACCACACACTTGGTCAGGACATCCTGGCTATAAGTCCAGTTAGCTATCGACTACAACAGGCAGCCACCTATCACTTGCTGACACCCAGCTATGCTTTTAATAATGAAAAGCCTCAGTGCAATTTAAATGTGTGTGTTATACAAAACAATTACTCCCAGTACAGATACCATGAGGAGGTCAATTATCTATAAACTCGAAAACATTTTTTTTTTAATTTTCACAAGACTATAAACATGTTAATTACTGCTGTGAAGTCTATTTTAACAGCAACATCTACAGGGATTGACTTGCTTTTGAAAAGAACCCCAAGTGGCAGCTAGAGGAACTGCAGTTTTGGCATTTTGGCTGTTTTTTTCCAGCCCCTAAGATGACTGCCATGTGAGTTTGGTTTTCTTGCGAACAGCAGCCAAGATGAATTAGCTGATGAGTATTAATGAGGTTATGTTGCCTCTCTTAACGGGGCTCTAGTCCAGAGTCCTTGCAGAGAGAGCGTAACCCAGATTACTTTGTCATAGTTACAATTTACAAATGTCCAAAAAAATATGTCTCATGCAGGCAGTCATAAAGCCTTAGGACTACAAAACAGACACACTAATTAAATGTGTGTGTTGCAGGCAGATGGTGGGTAACACCTTTCTCACCAGTGGCTCTTCCCAACAATATGAGCAAGTGATAGAAATCATTTGTCACCTTTAAGATGGAAAAACACATAAACAAAATTATTCTGTTTACTTGTACAGCTATTCTTGTGAGAGTTTTCTCCATTACCATCAGTGAGAGGCCAGCTTGTTTTATTTCACACCTCTTTAAAAGCCTGTCTGAGGGCT